AGGGCCCACACTAAAAATTCAGGATAATCTTTCCATCTCAAGATACTTAATCACATCTGCAAAATCCATTTCCCCTCATGTAAGTTAACATTGCTAGGTTCCAGGATTTAGGATATGACTATCTTTTGGGAGGCCATAATTCAGTCTATCACACTGTAGTTTTTAATCTTTGATTTAACTTTTATTAGTCTGTGCTTTCCCTTGACACAAGATTAGGTGCAAAAATTGTGTCTAGGGAAAAAGTACAATTTTAGTCTGCATTATTTTGAGACCCACTTTAGGAAGGCCTTTGCGAAGGCAGGACTTTTGTTCCACTTCAAAATTATGAGAGAATCAGGTTGATAGTGAAGAGCATATGCTTAAGAAAAATTGTCTTGCTCCACATTTGGTTATTGAAATAATTTTAGAACACACGTTACTCTAAATTTGCCAGAAAAAAAATTTTAGGTGCCATGACACCGATTTTGAGCTTTTAATGATATGTCAAGTCATTTCAATTCTCAGAAACTTGGAGAGGGTTAAAAGGTAGGCACAAAATGAATAAAATTATTTATTTTCAGTGTGGTCTAGAGAATTTTAAGATGGATTTTTTTCTATTACATTTTAAAAATTTCTCCTTAACGGATGTCACATTGAGCCATTCACTTCTGTTTTATACCCTCCTATAGAGTTCTTTCAAAAATGAACTGCAGTTTGTAACCCAAGGAAAACGGAAGAAAGATGCTGTACTATTCTTCTTTAGGCTTTGTGTGATGATTTTATTGATAGAGGGGGATTTGGTTTTGAGGCCAAAGTATTTGCTGAGGAAACAGCTCCTGTTACCACTAGCCTTTCTCTCTGGATATAAAAGTCTTCTTCTTGGCCTGGCAGAAACTAGGTTAATGCATAGGTCAAGGCTGCTGAATTAAGAAACAACACCCTCATTGTAAAGTTGATCATTGTACAGAGACAAATATTGTCCAATTTTGTTATTGTTCTATTTTTTGCTGTTCAGATTCATTAATTATTTTAAATGGTCTTGTAACATTAAAACTGGTGGTCAAGTTTATTTTAAGCATTTACTGCTGAGATTTAAACCACCTCCAAGTTACATAACAGCTACTCCAATGCAGAACTAAGCAAAGATCCAATTTCTTGGGCTGTTTGTCCTGGGCTCAGTTACCTCTTACACAGAGATGATAACTAACTTTCTTTTGAATCCAGTTCTCCATTTCATTTCAGCTCCCACATCAGAACCTAATACTTATTCATGTTCTCTGCATGTGTTTCTTAGGACATTTCTGCTTACCCAAAACTTTCCTGTTGCTGTTAAATAGGAGGCTGTGTTCCAGAGACAATATTTTTGAGTTTACTCCACCAACATTTGCAAACGCTTGTTTTCAGTTCTATCCTATCCTAGGAAACAGTGGGTGACAGTCTAGGAAAGAAGTACAGATTTCTTTTACCCTCAAGACATTTAAATCTAAGTTTCTCAGTGCCACTTTATATTGATGCTTTAAACGTTTATTTTAAGAATACTTTCCCAGATTCTTATAAACCAGGAATAAAACTTAAAGTACCCATTTAAAATATATTTAGTATTTTTATTTCATCTTTTCAAGGATCATATATTTTCACCTCATTCCTGATCTTAACTTTGAGAATCACTGACATGGGAAGACTTTCTGTTGGATATTTTTAGCTGTCTATAACTCTGCTGTTAAGAATTTACAAAGTAATGGCTGCAGATGTAGCACAGTGGTAGTGTACTTGCTTAGCAAGTGTGAAGTCCTTGGTTAAATTCCCAGTATCCCCAAAACTAAATAAACAAAAAGGAATTCAAGTAATGAATTGATGGAGAACTACTGTATTTAGTTCTTGGTTAGCTTCTTAGTGTTTGCAACTACTGTTAACAATGGATAAGATTACAGGTATATTTAGTACTTCTTAATTCCTGTAAACTACTTAAAATACACCAAACTTAAAGAATAAAATAGAAAAGAAAGTGAAAATTTAAAGTTCAGAACAAAGTGTCTTGGCAGGAAATTAGATCAAGAACCAGAATGACCATGGTTTAGGGAAGCAAACTGACTGGTGATATTTTTATTGACCAGCTATATACCCGGTATTTTACACATATTATCCCTTTCAATTTTAGTTTGGCTATTTGCTAGCTATGTTGACTTGGGCATATTGCTCACAGTTTTGTACCTCAGTTTCCTTAGTTTTCAAAATCACCCCCCCCCAAAAAAAAACCTTACATATTTTGTTAGGATATGTAACCTGACACAAGGTAAACACTTTGTGAATGTTTACTACTAACATCCCTCATTGATGAGGATATTGAGGCTCTGGGAGGATAGAGAACCAGATTGTCTTTGGTGAATGAATAAGAGGATGCATGTGAAGCTCATACAGAGTTCTTGATAACAAGCCATTTCTCTTTGTAGTATTGGTTCTATGTTTAGCTAACCTTGTAATCTTAGGTAAGCCTTGGTTTCACCATTTGTAAAAGAGAAGCGTGGAGGTTAATAACATTTATGGCCCCTTTCTCTTCTAATATTATATATTTTTAATTATGATCTTCAGTGACCAGTGAATTTATTTGACTTTGGGGAAATTTTGCATATCTTTAGAAATGATCTGGGATTAAAATATTTGACAGCAGGTCTGTGGTAAATGGCTATTAAAAGGGCATGGTAGAATCATCAATGAAACTGACAGAAATCTTGTCTGATCCCTTTAGTTCTATTTACTTTTGGTTACTTGCCTTTAGTTGAATTTAAAAAAAAAATCACTAGTTTTGAAGGTCATGTGACTAAACAGTATATTACTAGTTTCCTATTAGCTTTATACCCTCTGATTTATGGGACATGATGATAATGGTTGCCTAGGTTACTTTTCAGGGACATGAAGCTGCTTTTGTTGAAATATCCGACTTCACTTATGCCTGCACAGGTGTCTGAGGGGTGGTGACTTTTGACCTCAGAAGACTGAAAAGCCCACCCTAATGCCCCCATTTTCTGAAATGCATCCCATGAAGATCCATGAAGTTTTCTAGTTTTTGTCTGTCTGTTTTGGCTTACAGAATTTTTAAAAAATATATTTTTAGTTATAGATGGACAATGCCTTTATTTTGCTTATTTAGTTTTATGTGGTGCTGAGGATCAAACCCAGGTCCACACATGGCAGGCAAGTGCTGTACCACTGAGCCACAACCCCAGCTCCTGTCTTACAGAATTTATATAATATTTTAGAAAGATGAAGCAGAGTTTTCAACATACAGTTTGTACAGAAGTGCAGATTCTAAGCAGGCATCAAGATGAGAATATAGAATGACTGGTTTTTTGGGAAATGAAATATCCTGAAAACAGCCATTCTAAATATATAAATAAATTCATCATATCTTTGTTGAACATCTATTAATTATCATGCACTGTGCAAAGAACTGAAGAGTTCCATAAAACATGGCAGTTTCTGTCTTCAATGCACTAAGATTCTGAGAGAAAAAAACCAACCAAACAAAAAATATATAATGTAATGAGAGCAACATGAAAAGAAATCTATTACAAGAGATAAGTAGACCTAAAAGGAATAACTTTACAAGAGGAAATACACATTTTTGAACTAATCTACCCTAAACACATAGAAGACTCAAGAATTTTATGTAAGCACAAACCATTGATTACTTCATCTCCAATCACCTTTTCCCATGCTTCAGGCCACCTGCCTCTTCATCGTCCTGTGTGTGTGTGTGTGTGTGTGTTTTCTTAGAATAGAAATCAGGGACATCTGAGATATATCCACCTAGCTACATCCCTAGCACTTTTTATTTTTTAATTTTTAATTTTGGGACAGGATCTTGCTGAATTGCTGAGGAGGGCCTTGAACTTGTGATCCTCCTACCTTAGCCTCCCTGGTTTCTAGAATTATAGACATTTGCCACTATGCCCAGCCAGTCCTGTTTCTTTATCTGATGCACCTCCCCAAGCACTTGGGTAGGTGTATTTAAATGTTGGGTCTCCCCACTCCATGAAGAAACTTTTTTGCAAAGCTTCTTATTTCAGAGATTGACATACTGCAATGTGGACACAACAGGCTTGGTTCAGTAACATCAGTGGGTTCTCTGTGTTCCGCAAGTTTCACCGGTAGCAGCTGGGTTTCAGATGTCTTAGTAGCAGGTGGTCAACACTTCAGGCTTGGGAAAGGAAGAACTTCTTGCTCATTTTGTTATGCTGTAGTATAAGCAGTTATTTAAATTCACTTGAAAGTACTAGAAAGATGAAATAAGTGAATGGAAGGCACTCAAGTCTTTGGTAAGACAGGAAGGAAGGAAAAGGAGAAAACTTCAGGTTTTGTAGTTATGTGAAAGTGGAAACCCATGACTGTCCTGAAGTTTTCTTGGGTACATAAGAAAAGAGTTAGGTGGCACCAAAGTTATCTGATACTGGCAATCTGAAAAACAGTAAACATAGTTTCTTTCCAAGTGCTTAGTCATGCTTATGATGGCAAGGAGAAATATTTGAGACTCTTAACTTCCCTGAAGTCTTGGTCTTCAAGATTGTTCCTGCTGAAATGATTAATTTATGCTTCTGAATGTGGTTATGATCAATGTTTCCATTCCCTGCCCCCTGTTTTCTCTTTGTAATCCCTAAACCTGTTTTCATTTGGCTTGCTTTAATTCCTTGAGTAAAAAGAAGCAGTAGTGTTTAGGGAGAAGTGTTTTTGTTTTAAATATGGTTTATGGAATAATAATTCTGAAGAACAATTCCTAAATTCATAATTATACCCCTTTTCCCTTTGAAATTATTTTAATAATGAAAAGAAATTGCTTAGACACATGGGAAATTGTGTTCCTGATAGGTATTCCAGTCACCAACCAAACTCTTTGACTGAAATTCTTGTCACAATAAGGGTGAGAGATAGGGGCAGAGACAAGAAGGCTGAAAGCTGCTTCAGGTATTCATAAACGGTATCTTTAAAAGTCTTTTAAAGCATTAAGTATTAGACTACAAGGAAAATGTGTTTTTATGTTTTATTCCAATTAGAAAACTTTGATGGAGTAAATAGAGAATACTATTTTTATAAGTTTCTGTGGGATCTTAAAGCAGAATTATAAATCTACACAATTTAAAATTATCTAGTATTTCATTTCTAAAACATTAACATTTCTATATGCTCTAAACAAATTATGCTCAGGATAATTACTAGCCAGCAATGTTTTTATCCAGTAAATGAAATTATCTCCTATATAACAATTTCTTATTTAATTTATTTTATTCAAGGCAATAATTGAGATGAGATGTGTATATGGAGAGCCGGGAAATGCACAGCAGAGATGTGTAATTTTGGAAAAGAATTTCAATCTCAGTTGCAGGCTGATCAGATTAACAACCTTGACTCTTCTCCTTTACCAGTTCTCTATACAAATCTTTTTTCTTCTGTAGTCTTCTGGATTCCCACTGGATGTTTACCCTCCTTCTGCTTTCTGTTGTTTCTTCAGGCCCTTACTTTGGCAAGTAAAATCATGTCCAATGCTTTTTACTCTACCTTCTCCCATATCCAAGTCAGATGGAGGTCTGACAGATGGCCATGGGTTATTGATGAAAAGATCCCTGTGGGCTTTGTAGCTAGCAAGGTGATGAGGACTTGGGGGAAAGCAGACACAGGAGGGCCTGGAACCAATAATTCACATAAGCATTCATTTCAATCAGTAAACACTTAAAACATCTACTATAGGAACTATGATAGGCACCATAGTAAAAAGTGGTATAAGAGATAGTCTCCATTTTCCAAGCACTGAACTTTTCTGGGAGAATTAGTGGGAAGAAAATCCAGGACTGGCACCAGATTATATTTCTTTGTTGAGTAATTTACTGAAATAGATAAAAGTTAGAGATTTGAAAAAACAAATGTGAAAAGCATTGGTATATTACAAGCGTTCTCAACTTTGGCTGCTCATTATAATCTCCTATGGTAGCTTTTAAACAATGGTTTTCAAACTTTAGTGCGCAAGAGTATCTGGCTAAATCTGATTACTAAGCCCGTCCCAGAGTTTATGAATCAGGTAGTCTAGAGTGAAAAAGAATTTGCATTGCTATCAAGTTCTTAGGTGATGCTGATGCTGAGTGGTCCCAAAGCTATACTTCTGATAGCCACTGTTTTTAATTATAAGGATTTTCAGGTCTTGCCTTCAGACTCATCCAATGGGTGTAAGGATGGAAATCTGGTATTGTTCATTTTTGGTTCCTCAATTTTAATGTAGGTCTAAGGCTGAGAACCAGTGTTCCACTGTATAGAGAATGGTTGACTCGCTGAAGTTGCTGAGTTTGGGACTCAATGAATCTACACATTCCTATAGTTCAATTTGTAGGAATTCTGCTGTTTAATCATCTTAAATAAATGACAATATTTGATTTAAAAAGCAAGACAACAAAAACAACTCTGAGATTGTTGTTCAAACTAATTTGGCTGCCTTAATTTGTAGAGTCTTTCAGACTATACCTGGGTACTTTCCAATGCCACCTTAAAAACATTTTAGGGGTCTTCTGTGGAAAAATCTTCAAAGAAGCAGGGTCCATTAGAACCCCATCTGAGCCTTCCTTGGACTTGTCTAGCCCTCAAAGTTCCAATAAGTGAGCTGGAGTGGGCATGCTCAGTGGGCAGGGTCGGGTTTGCGGGGTGCAAGTGGGAAGCCTGTTACTCAACTGCAGTGGCTTGCCTCCTCCCCCCACCTGTACGAGGCTGGGCCCAAGGAGCCTGTGCTCAGCATCCCACCCCCTGGTGACTGGGCTTGGTCTTCTCTGCGGGTCCCAACGCTGACATTCTGGCAGGGGGTCAGGGGGCCTGGCGCGCCTCCAGTGCGCGCGGCTGGGGGCAGCCGGGGTGAGGGACTTGGGCTCTTACGGCGGGGTCCCAGGGGTCCGCTTGCCTCCTAGACTCGTCTCTAGGCCCAGGGAAGCCTGCCTACCCGGCGGTGCCGAGTAGGGGAAGCCAGATCTGGGGGCGGGCGACGAGAAATCAGGTAAGCCAGCTCTGCCGGCCTGCGGGCGGACGAGTGTCTCCCCTCTCTCGGGCAGATGGCGTGGGTGGCCCGCATGGGGAGGGGACAGGAAATCCGACACCTCCACCGGCTTCCCCGGCCTAGCTCAGCCCTGGCTTTCCCGTCTGCCAGCCAGCTGGCAAGGCGGGGCGGTGAGGCTGGAGTTCGGCATGGCCAAGGCGCAAAACAGGAACCGCAGCTTGGGGCTAAGGCTATTACGTCCGCTGCGGCGCGGTCCTAGCCAACGGGACCGGTGTCCCCGTGTCCCCGTGTAGTCATATTCATTGGGCAGAAGAGACCTCACTCGCTCGCCCCCCCCCCCCAACCCCGACCCGGGTTCACAGCTCACTTCCGTGTTTCCCCGCTGGGCCGGAGGAGCCTGGGCCCTAGGTACCCGCCTGGATGCGGCGGCCCGGCCGCCAGGGTCAGCCCGACGGGAGGGAGGCGGCGCTGGAGGGGGAGGAGGAAGTCGCCCGGGAGGCGGGGGCCGGCCGTGCAGGGCGGGTCGGGTTACACTCGCCCAGCCTGACCCGAGTGACATCCCCGCGCGCCTCGCTGAGAGCACAGGGCCGAGCCTCAGATCCTCGGGGGGAGGCTGACTCCGCCCTGGCTGGAGGAACTAGGTGCTCCTGCCCGCTGCCCCTTCGCGCGTGAAGATTAATCTCAGGTGTGTGTTTCCTGGGCGATCCCCCTCCTGGTCCCTGGGGTTCTAGGGGGGAGTGGTCCCTTTCTGATCCCGGCGATTCTTGTGGGGCTCTGGTGTTGCGGTAGGTGGTGGTGGTGGCGGGAAACTGGAGAAGGATTTAGAATTTCTCCCCATCCACGGAAGACTCGTTCTCATTTGGGGTTTAACTGTTTACGTTTTGGAGGGGAACTAGGGTTTATTGCATTTGTAACACTTAGAAAAGTGGCAGGGCTTTAGGGCGGGGTTTGGTATCTCTGTGAAAGTATATGCAAACTTTTAGCTTGTGAATGTGACTAATCTGATAAGAAGGATTGTTGCTTCTTTCTGAGGCAAGGGTGGGAACCATTCTCGAAGGGGACAGAAGCTTCTTTGAGAAACTCAGCTTACCGGGGTGTGACCGTCTTTAGAGGAAACGGAAGGTATACACTGATGAACTTAAAACAGCCTCCACTTTCCACGTAGTAACTTTGATCAGCAAAAATAGATTTGCAAAGTGCTTTGGCAAGAAGGTGCATCTGGGTGAATGAAGTGCTGCTTCTCCAGATGGTCTCTAGACTGTCTTCCACCTTGTTCAGAGGAACATTCACTCTAGGAAAGCCTTCCTCAAGAATTCCAAAGTAATTTACAAACACATATTCGCACCAAGTCTCAGTGACAGGGACAACCCAAATTACACAACACATTATAAATATCATAGGAGGCAACTATAGAACTAGCTAACAGCTAATTTAGTCTACTTGTATAAATAGGTGAGGGAAGGAAGTTAGTAAGTTACACTGAGTTTTTATTGCTTAAAATTGTTAATATTTTGCATACATTCCAAATTTAAGAGATGTGATTTTTTTTTTCTTTTTTCTTTTGGAGTGTGGAGGGTAATGGTAAGCCTCACATTGGAACCAAGCACTTTGTCCTAACTACTGACTATTCCAAGTCTCTAAGTCCCACAGTTCTTGGTGACCATCATATGAGAACTGGATGTTATTGCCCAAGGGATACCACGTGCAGCCTGCGGAACCTTGCTGATGTGGGTCTTGAAACCTCCTGGTGTTTCTCGCAGGAACATTATGTCAAGTTATAATACTTCCTGGATTTTAGCAATTCAGCTCTTTCAAAATAATGTAGCAATACCTTAGTGAATAACACATAAGGATGAAATTTTAGTTTTGAGAATCCACATTGTTAGATCTATGCACTTTGATAGCTCTGTCACTTTATGTTATAAAGAATTTTTTAAAAAGACCAAATGAAATATGTATTTTTCAATGGGTGCATTATAGAGATACTAAGCACCATTGAAGCTCTGCCTTAACCTCCTTTTGATTTATTAAAATATAAAGTTGTTTGGCTGGTCCATAATTAACAAGAGGGTCACAAATATACCAACTGTCAGTAGGTTTAATTCCCTCCCCATTTAGGTTTTGAAATTGTTTAATATCATTTATAGCTCTTAAAAGCTGTATCATTTTCATTGGCAAACTATAATAACTCTGAAATTATCCATGTAGTTATTTGTTTTCTATTTTAGCTCCAGAATTGAAGTTCTGTGAGAGTAGGGCTTGGTTTATCTTGCACTCTTGCAGATCTCTGTTTATTGTGATGACTACCTTGTAATAAGCATTTAATAAATATTTCTCCAATGACTAAACTGGAACAAACTAGCTAAGTCGAAAAAACCAAAGATTTTGGCCTTAAGTGGCCTAATTAAATTCACTAAGCCTCAATTGTGTCACTGGAAAATAGGTATAATAATATATAACATGTGTAAAATTGTCAGTGATGTATCAGGCAGGCAGTAAACTTCAAAATACTAGAAGGCAGTTAACTGCTTTCCTCCTTACGTTTTCTTTTTATTTTCATAAAGGAAAATTTGATCCTCAGCCCTGAAAAAAAGCCCCCCCCCCCAAAAAAAAATACAATTAACCCAACAAGTCACTTCTTGTGTGTCGTCCATAAATTATCCTCTCTTTCTTAACTTTAATATGTGTATGTGTCTTAGGGTAGTGGGAGGTTTGCCTAATTGCAGCTTTGGGTATTAGAGAAGGGAAGCAATTTTGAGATCATTATTTTTCTCTTTACTTTGGGAATATGTTGATGCTTTCAGGTCGGTTTTCCAAAACTTGATTCTACTTGTCAATACTTGGACTCATGGGATTGCCCTAAGTACAGAAACTGCTTCAGAAAGAAGCACTACATATCACATTGTTACACTCATCTTCTTAAGTATTCTATAGTCTTGTGCAGCATTATGGAGGAATAAATGCTGGATAAAAAAGTACAGTTATACTCTTTTTGAGAAGCTTAGAGTTTAATAATACAGCACACATATAGTCATGTGCTGCACATCTTTGTTTTGATTAAAAAATGGACCACATACATGATGGACCAAAAGATTATATTACCTAGTGTGTAAGTACCCTCTATGATGTTCCCATAATGATGAGATCAACAAATGAGGGATTTCTCGGAATGGATACCTTATTCTATGTCATTGAGGCTATCAAACAATATATATATTTCTGATTTTAAGTAGGTCAAGCTTGATTCTATTAGTTCATCAGCATTTATGGGAAGAACCATTTAATAAGAGATATCTCCTCTTCAACTAAAAATTTACTGTCACATATTGTGATATTATTAGAAATATAACTTCATCCTGTTCCTGATACAAGAATTTCCAAGATCCTTGGAATTTCGGGAGTGATCCAGTGTCTTTTTGCATATTAATAGGATTACTGGTGACTCTCTTGAGCTCCTGGATTGCTTCTGGGTGGGACCTGGTTCCTCTAGCCACCAGTGATGTGATCAGGGAGTTGAAATTCCAGCCCTACCCTTGACTTCTGGGTAGACTGAGCCAATCACTAATGGCCAGTTGTTTAATCACATCTACATATTTAAAATCCAAGGTTATGTGGTGTGGAAAGCTTGCAGGTTTGTGAATACCTGGAAGTGCTGTCCAGAGAAGGCACTAATCACCACACCATTGCTCCTGTGCTTACACGGCATAACATTTGGCTGCTTCTTTCTATCCTTATACTATCCTTTATGATAAGCTGTAAAGGTAAGTATTTTCCTGAGTTTTGTGAGCTGTTATAGCAGTTTTGTGAACCTGAGAAAGTTGTGGGAACCCTCAATTTATGGTCAAGTTGGACAAAACGAAGGATAACCTGGGGACTTAAGTCAGTTGTGATGGCTGTCTGAAATTGGGGGTAGGGGGAGGCATTTTTGTGGGTGTGAGTCCTTAACCAGGTGTTCTGCCCTCACTTGAGCAGTTGATATCAAAATTGAATTAAATCACAGGGTACTAAGTTGGTGTCCTCAGAGAACTGGAGAATTCTTTGGTTTGGAAAATCCACACATTTTGTGTCTAACGTGTTGTAAATGTAGGTGTAGGTTTTTTGAATATATATATATATATATATATATATATATATATATATATATGAATACAATTTGGGAGCACCTTTTAAATTATTCAGACAAAATGAAATCATGTGCTGTAAAAAGTAAAAACTTTTCAATAGTGAAATGCCGTTGCAATGTGGATACTTTTTGAACAATGACCATTTAATTTAGATTTTTCAAGCATTATGTTCTTCAAATAGCAATATGGCTTTTGTAGAATTTCATATTTGATTATGCATATATATTTTCTATAAAAAATTTTAATATAGAGGGAAAGCAAACTCTAGAAACCATAACACAGAAAACATTTTATGAAAATGAGGTTTTTAGAAGCCGCTAATATCAAATGGAATCGAGGAGAATAGCTTGGTGATGGCAGAGTGACTTGCTAAGAGAGTTTAATTATCTATCTGCTGGTGACTACTAAGACCAGGAGAAAACTTTAGATGATTTTGTACATATTATAAGAAAAAATATTTATGGTCAAGGTGACCAGTTTGGGGAAAAAATTGGTCATGATTTTATGCCATTATATAACTTCAGTATAACACAACAAGCTTATAAATGTATTTCAAAATTGATTAAAACAATACACTTCAGAGTCCTAGCTTCACCAAAGTTGTTTCCCTTTTATTTAACCTGAAGAAAGAAAGGATGTTTTGTTTCATTGTGTTAATGTCAAAGCTGCTTTGATCATATCCCTCTGTGCTGCACCCTTCTGGGGGCCATTCCACCCTGTGAAATCTAGTTCCAAGTATTTGTTTGGAATTCAAGGACTTCTCTATGCCTCAGGGTTCTACCCTTATCTTCTCTAGCATCCAGCCAAATAGGATTAATTGAACTTCCCTAAATCTACTTTATTTTTATAGCTACCCTATGCTAATGCTCTTCCTTTTATTTTGTCTTTTGAAGGCCTTACCCCTAGCTTCTAATTTCTTGAGTTTTCCTCCCAGTTGGGGTCAGAATTGTTTTGTACACTCCTTAAACTCTTCAAGTACTCTTTTGGTGCCACTCTGAAGTCTGTATACTCCTTTGTACTGTAATTACTTGAAAACATGAAACATTTCCTTTCTGTGGAAGATCCTGCAGAGCATAGGCTGTGTTCTACACGTTTTACAAACCTGTTGCCTAACCCAAGCTCCTTGAGCATGAGATATATCTAGTAAATAGGTGATTCTATGCTAATTTAAACATTCCTTAATTTTTCAAGAAATTAGTGATAGGCATGGATTTGTTGTGATTGTCCTGCAGATAACATGGAACAGATGTATTTGAAGATAATCAGTTAAACTGGGCCTCTAAGGTCTATTTCTTCTTTGGTCTTCATTTTCTCCCTATGATTTGGCAGTTTCAATATTTAAAGGGTATTAGGAAGAGGAAAGGAAATCACTGCGGGTGAACCAGTGTTATAAAAACAATTCCAGAAGAAAGGTAGAGAAACCTACTTGGTGTCCATTTCTGTCGGGGGTTTTTAGGACTCACTGCTCTTGCCAATTTCTCCCTTTTTCTCCACCTACCAACTAATCCAATCTGTTAAGAAAGGATTTGTATGATTAATTTATAATAAGATGATTGATGAA